GTGTGTTACCATGATGGTGTTTAGTGTTTGTGTGAATGACGCTGTGCACCTTCTATACGTGTTATTATTTAAAAGCTGCTTGTGATGGGCTTTGGTTCATCATGTGACTTTCTTATCACCACCTGCTTTTTGTGGTTATCAGTGTATTACAAAGGTACAGAACAGATTTCAGTACTTCAATAGGTTGGTATATTAACATTATATCAGTTAATGAAATTACGGTATTTAACTGTAAATTTAAGTTAAAACCGTAAAACCTAAAACGTTGCTACCGTATTTTTTACGGTAAAATTCCGGCAACCACAGCTGCCGGTTTTTTACCGTAAATTTTACGGATTTTTTTTTACAGTGTAGCACCAATACTATATAACTCACTTGTCATGTAACTCCCCTCGATGGCGGCTTTCCGCAAATCGGCTCAGCTCTGCAGCTTCCTTGTCTTGTTCAAGAGCACTCACTGCTTCAGACAGCTGCTGTGGGGGAGGAAGATCAACAGCGATGAGGGTTCCTTGAAGACAACAGCAGAGTCTGTGGATCTCTCAGACTGCTTCAACCATACCTTGTGCTTCATCTCCAGAAAGTTTGAGATGCTCTGGCTTTGTTGAAGCTGAGATCCTTTGGTTTTCAGAAGGTCTGTCTGAACATCCAGGTGACCTCTGGCCTCTCGGAGCCTCTGGACGAGCTCTGCCCTCCTCATGCTGCTTTCCTCTAGAGCAGCTCTGAGCTCAAAGTCCTCAGCAGAAGAGTGTGTTCGTGAAGCTCCTTCTGGAGCCAAATGGGATGTAGATGACCATCTCGTCATGCCCAAAGAGCCCCTGTGTTTCTGGCTGTCAAGAGTGCTGGTTCAGAGAGATGTCAATATTTTTATCATTAATCAGCTGGGAAAAATCATTCTGAAAGTGATTCCAATGATATTGTTCCTCGGTGATGTTATCATTGTGTGGGGACTTCACTATTCTCATATAATTAGAATGATTATTTAAACTTTAAATTGTTATAATTCGTTGAAAATTTACTCACGCTCAGGCCATTCAAGATGTAGATGAGTTTGTTTCTTCGTGTGAACAGATTTGGAGAAATTGAGCATTATATCACTTGTTCACCAGTGGATCCTCTGCAGTGAATGGGTGCCGTCAGAATGAGGGTCCAAACAGCTGATAAAAACATCACAATAATCCACAAGTAATCCACACAATTAACGTCTTGTGAAGTGAAAAGATGCATGTTTGTTAAAAAAAATAAAAGAATAATTCATAATTAACTTAAAACCATTGCTTCTGGCCAAAACACCAGTCCATAATCCATAATAATGCTTCCTCCAGTGAAAACGTCTATCCCCTGTTGTCCTCTCATATCATAATCCACAGACATATTTGTTTAGACTGTTTTGGTTTGTAAACAGTGCTTGGTCTGTGCATATTTCTCTCCTGATTCAGACGAGACGACTTTTCACTGGAGAAAGCAATACTATGGATAGAGGACTTGTGTTTTGATCAGAAGTTAAAAAATATCGTAATGGTGGATTTGTTTCTTACAAACATGCACCTTTTTGCTTCAAGACATTAATTGATGGACTGGAGTGGTGTGGATTACTTGTGGATTATTGTGATGTTTTTATCAGCTGTTTGGACTCTCATTCTGACGGCACCCATTCACTGCAGAGGATCCATTGTTGAGCAAGTGATGTGGTGCTAAATTTCTCCAAATCTGTGAAGAAACAAACTATACATTTTGGATGGCCTGAGGGTGAGTAAATTTTTGCAAATTTTCATTTTTGGGTGAACAATTCCTTCAAAGCACTACATCACTACACTAACCTGGTGCTGATTTTTGAGCAGTCAGTCAATCCAGATAAGCCTACACAGCTCCATGCTGGAGATTTCTGAAAATAAGCACCATATTTGTTAAAATTTTGTAAAAGATTATGAAAAAATGATTTGTTTTGATCCCCAGAGTTTCACTTTGTACATACCCGAACCCGAGCTTTAAAAAGAGATCTACTATCCCAGAAGTCAAGATCCGAGAGAGTGAGGGGACTTAGAGACCTAAGAGTGTGCCGGAAAGATCTACGGCTCAGGTCAGAGTCCCATTCCCGGTCACTCCAGAATCCTGATGGTGAAAGGCTTCTTCTTTCTCCTCTCCACTTGGCCATATCCACGAGAGCTCTAGAAAGTGAGTTGAGATACTGTGTAGGCTACTCAACTGCAAATTGTCCTGCCTTTACACAAAACTATTTCACACAACCCAGACAGTTTGAACCTAGCATGTCAGAGGGGCACAACAACATGGAAACAATGTCTAATGTTTATCTGTTGCTATAATCTTTTTAAACTTAGTTACTTGACAGTCAAGCAGTATCTGGCAGAAGGGGTTTGTAGTGTTTGCTCTTTCATAATAAAAGAGAAAATATTCATTATAATTGCGATAAATGTGTCACTAATGCTGTCTATTATTAATTTAGTACACAATCACCAAAACTACATAACATACCTTTTGTATCCTTGGTTATTGTTGTTTTTCCTCCTTGCGTTTTGATTTCATACACACTCAGTACTTGACACTCTGTCAGTTTCCTTACTGAGCAGGCAATGGTGTTGAAAGAAAAGCCATGGCAGCAGGTCTCTATGGTGACTGTCATATACAGGACACAGAGAGTGTGTGTCCAGCCCACCTCTTCACTAAATAATCATTTTGTGGACTCACAGGACTATTTCTGGAAGGTATGAGTACAATGCTGAAGATTTAACATGTACCTGCCAGAACACTGTTACCGGTCAATAACAACAATGGAATAGCCTATATTGGTCCATGCAAATGAATTTAATCTATTTATCCGTAATTGTTTAATAATTCTATAAATTATTAAAATAATATATATATATATTATATATATTATTTGAAATGATCGGACGGTACAGACTTAAAATACACTTTTAAAAAAGTATTTCTTGAAGTACGCGTGTTCCCATATGAATATGGTAATATCGTGGTATATATCAAATTACCATGGTAATGTCCTTGTTTTGTGTGAAATAGTACCAAGGATAATTATTTCTTTTATTATTTCTCTCTTTTTTCCTGTATTCATGTTTACAGCCTTTTAATTTAAACGAGTACATTTTAAAAATGTTATTACCATGCTAACATGTCCCAAAAGGGTGGTCCTTTAGTATTACTTTTGTTGTAATTCATTCCAAGTAAGCTTTTTGTAGGATGTTTTTTCAATTGTTTATGCATTCAGAACATGTACAAAGTTGAGAAAGTTTGAAAATGTTAGCATGTATTTTCAGTTGAGCGCTCTGATTGGTGAGATTACCTCGGTGACGTGGCACATGCGCCAAGCCTGTCTGCGCATGCGTGACACACATGTGAAAGAAACGTAAACCGGAGGAAATTTGATTCGTTGTAGACATGTACAGAAGAACAATCCTGTGTTTTAGGGGTCAGGACACTTTAAACGCATTTCAAAGAGGAATGTGTTGTTTAATGCGTCGATACGTTAGCGTCAGATCAGAGGATGATATAAAGAACTTCATTATAGATAACACAGAAATAGTGAGTGCCCAAAGTTTGACCCCAGAGATTTCTTTAAGACTCTTCACCCCCACTTGTCGGTTCTGGACGGAGAGACCTGAATCGTGGCCTTTTCCTGATCCGTACTGGGCAATATATTGGCCCGGTGGACAGGCGCTGGCTAGGTAACTGTTCAATTAACAAAACATTAGTAATAATGAACGCGACGGTAGATTTTAGGTTTGTTACTGTGAGATCAGTTCCGTCTACCTGCGTTATTTTGTCGTTTTTATTAACGATGCAGCTCTGGGGACTGTTTTCTCAGGTATCTCTTAAATAACCCCGAGGTGTCTGGAGGCAGAAAGGTGCTGGATCTCGGCTGTGGTTGTGGAGCATCAGCCATTGCTGCCAAACTCACTGGAGCTTCCCGTATTGTTGCCAATGACATTGATCCAAGTTGGCCCGGTGGACAGGCGCTGGCTAGGTAACAGTGTTCAATTAACAAAACATTAGTAATAATGAACGCGACGGTAGATTTTAGGTTTGTTACTGTGAGATAAGTTCCGTCTACCTGCGTTATTTTGTCGTTTTTATTAACGATGCAGCTCTGGGGACTGTTTTCTCAGGTATCTCTTAAATAACCCCGAGGTGTCTGGAGGCAGAAAGGTGCTGGATCTCGGCTGTGGTTGTGGAGCATCAGCCATTGCTGCCAAACTCACTGGAGCTTCCCGTATTGTTGCCAATGACATTGATCCAAGTGAGCTTTGTGTTCCTGCAGCACCTCATACCTGAAATAAGAACTATTGGGATTTGTTCAGTTCAATTTGGCGAGTAAACTAAAACGTCCTTATAGATCTACCTTCTTGCAGTTTATCATAAATTATTGAAAGAAATCTAGTGAAATGTCTTTTTAAAATTGGCAACCATTTAAAAAAATAATAAGATTTTTAAATGTATTTGTAATTTATTATTTTTTAATTTATTTGTTTTTAACTAAAATAATTTATTTTATAGGGGGGAAACATTAAGGTGTAAGGTGTACTCATTAAGTAAAAAGTGCTAAAAGTATTGTTATAATTTATAAATTATATTTTTTAAGTCATGACTTTAAAAACATTTTCTTATGGTTACTCCATTGCCATTTTTTAAAATACCAACCCTTACACAGTTATAAGGGTCTAAAGCGAAGTCTGAAACTAAAACTATAAATGAATTTAAAAAAATTCTCATTTTAATTTAGTTGAACTTAATGTACTAAAATAATCAAAAGTGAAATAAAAATTAAGAAAAACTATATATATATATATATATAAATTAATAATAACTATCATAGTATCTTGATACTAAAATTATCCTTTTATTATTCGTCACATAACTTCCTGCATGTTTGTTACACCACACTGACTGACAAACATAAGGTTTATAATATTAAGTGCTTTGTTTTATTATTGCAGTTGCTGCCGTTGCCACAAAAATGAACTGTGAACTGAACAATTTGGACCCTTTACCTTGTGTGACAGACAACATCATTGGCTCAAAGCCCGATGACTGGGACCTCATTCTTCTCGGAGACATGTTCTATGATGAAGATCTGGCTGATCATCTGCATAAGTGGCTCCAGACATGTATAACCACACACGGAACACAAGTGCTTATTGGTGACCCGGGACGGGCTCAATTTGAAGGCCACGACATCAGAAAATTATTACATAAACTGGCTCACTTTGAGCTGCCCGACTCGGTCAAAGACGAGAACTACGGACTAACAAATAGCACAGTGTGGTGCTACAACTACAAACCTGATCTATAACAGCTAAAGCATTCACATATAAGCAAACTATGGACGTAAATACAACCTTATTACAAGAAAATGCTAACATAAATATATAAAATTGATGCTGTTTACTGTAAGCAAACATGTTTAATGGAACATATTCTGGAGCAGATTACTGTTATTTCGTACATGTATTTTATTTTATTTATTTATTATGTGTTATAGTACAGTTGAAAATGAAAAGTAGTTAAACAACAATTTTACATAAATATATTCAGAAATATTAAATTACATTACTATGCAATTAAATTATAAACACGAAAATGCTGTAAAAATGCATTGATTTTATCTTTTTTTTTTTTCATCAAACACTGACGCTTTGCTTAGTAAATTTGACAAGGATGATGCTTATCTTCCTTGATAAGTGCATTACATTTATGACAATAGAGTTGATGTGTTGTAGTTGATGTACTGGAGATGATTCGTAGTCACAGTCCGCAGTGTGATCAGTACACAGTCCAAGACACTTGTTGGATCTTGTTGGGGCCAATAAAGTTTTGGAGCGCCTCCCTTGATCTATCTAAAAGAGACAAAGATGTACTGAAACATCATTTTTGGACAACAAAATTTATGTTGCATTTTATGTCAGGGACCATGTGACTACCTGTAATCAGGGGACATCCATGGAAATTGAAAATTCTGATGTTGGCACAGTTTGCAAGAACAGCAGTCACTGCCACATCAGTCAAACTGCGACATCGTATCATCTGTAACTCCTGTAACAGTAAATAATTAATTAAAAATAATAATACAATATTAAAATTGTCTTAATGAAAAAAAATTAAATCAGTATGCAATACCTTTAGGCTATGTGAACAAACTCCATTTGCGAGTCCAATGACCCCTTGATCAGTTACCTTTAAATAGTGTGAATGCAAAAGTAGTAAGTATTTGGTGAAAATAATAAACATCAATGTGCGCAAGCAAAATGTTCACAATTTATTAAAACAGGAGTTAGAGCAGCATTATGATTTTGGTATATACACTACTCATCAAAGTAAATGTTTTATGTTTTTGAAAGAAGTCTCTTATGCTTATTAAGGCTGCATTTATTTAATCAAAAATACTGTAAAAACAGTAACACTGTAAAATATTATTAAAATCTAAAATAGCTGTTTTCTATTTTAATATATTTTAAAATATAATTCATTCCTGTGATGGCAAAGCTATTTCCGCAGCAATTACTACAGCCCTCAGTATCACATGATCCTACAGAAATTCGTATATGCTTCTTTTTCTTTTTTTCCCAAAAATATTTAAGAAAAGAAAATCATTCTTATATGGTTATTTTTCTTTCTTTTTCAAAAATATTTTAAAAAGTCATAATCATTCCAAACTTTTGGCCACTAGTGTAGGTTATATATGCTATGTGTAAATGACCTCTGTCCCAGAGAAGTAAATGCTGTGCAGCATCCTGCAGTTCTCTCCCAGCTCCAGCAGAGCTCTGTCACTGAGAGCAGTGCAGCCACGCAGGGAGATCACTTCTAAACATTTGCAGTGTCGCGCCAGAGCCTGAATCCCTGAATCTGTCACAGCCGTGCAGCCCGTGAGATCAACTACCTGAAGATAAGGGCAGCGGGATGCCAACGCCTCTAGACCTGGGAGAAAGAGAAATACAGCAGAAGTTGATGTCTTGAACAATTTCATTTGACCAACAGTGCAATTAGATATCAATTTCAGTCTAAAATGTATGCTTGGGTCTTATATTCTAAGATAACGGGGGAAACGATAATAAAGAGGGTCTGACAGTTGCTTCCTGTGTTGTTATTAGTCAAGTAATAAGTGCACTTTTATTTCAGTATATATATATATACACTCCCACCACCATGCTTGACTGTAGGCAAGACACACTTGTCTTTGTACTCCTCACCTGGTTGC